GCTTTATTAAATCAGAATGGAGAGCGAGGAGAGGTCTTCAATTTTATATCCAACAGAAGGACTTTGTTATTGGTCTGCTTTTTGGTTTTGCTCAGGGTTATAGGGATTTTGTTTATTCAGGAAATATAAGGAAACACTGTTAACTGTCATATTAAATTCGTCGCCATTAATTTGATTATTTTAGTAGTTGTCAAAAAGCGTTATTGATTTTTTTAATGTGCATTTGACTTTGACTAAATTTTCTAGGTTTAAAATCGACTATGATGAAAAAATTGTTATATTACGCCTCTTTAAAACAACTTCATCTGAATTTTTTTAAATCAAAAATGTAATAAAATACTTGATAGAATGGTTTCAGACAATTCAGCCTGCAGATTGTACACTAACGATCGCTGCAGGATTTGAATGTCTCACTTGTTTGACTGAGAAACAAAGACCATAAACCTGTCAAAAATAAACAAAATGCAACAAGTTTGAAGAACCAAACACAAACACAGAACAGTTTAAACAGACACACGAAACAAACAAATAAAAAACCATATAAAAACGTAAAAATAATAATATTAATATGACTTGAAGGAACCTTATATCATGATACTATACATTATTGAAAATCCAGTCATAAAAAATCAAAACATGGCTTATCAGTTGAACAAAATCGACGTTCTTGGTTAAATTATATATTTTTTAAAAATTTCTACTATAGATCAAATCGTCACGGTTTTGCTTGTATGATGAGTTGCATCAAAAATTTTATGCGACATCCAAGCATATCATGCTTATGAAACAGTAACTATTGCCATTATATTACACCATATAATTCATACTTCAATTATATTTTCTAATAATTTTTTGGATCAAATTTTGAGACTTTTTCAAAATCGAACTCAATAGCTACTTTTCCAATTTTCCAACTTTTTAAACATAATTTTTTATTATTATTTTTATCATTGTTAAAAACAAATTTTTTAAACACTTATAAACGCTTCTTTGACAGACAGTGTACTGTTAGGTTGGGACTTGAAGGTGGGTAGCCTTCCTGGATGACCCAGAAAACCGCACTCCGTTCTTCAGGAGCTTCCATGGATTTAAATTGTCCGCAGAAACGAAATCAGGCAACAGCTAATAGATTGTTATATCTAAATATCAACGGCATTATTGAATCATTTTTGCACATATTTTAGTAGTTTCTTACCCCATTTTTTCATCCTTGTAAAAAATTCAAGGTTCTAAAACTAAGTTTAAAACTAAAGCTTTAAAACAAAGAGTTTAGCAGTGGGACACAAATTTTAATGTAAAACTAATTCAACAATACCGTCATTTATTGAAATTTTAAAATAAGATTTGTCTAGCTTTACAGCCATGCCAAGTATCGGGTTGTTTCACTTGAAATGTCCGTTTTTAAAGTAAAGATTCTTTATGAAGTCTAAACCATTCTATTCAAAATGTCTTCTTTTTCTACACATTCCTTCCAAAGTGCAACTAATTTTTAATTCCAGAACTGAAAAATTGAATGTTTAGAAAAAAAATCATTTTTGGAACTGTGAACCATTACATTTTTTTTTTTACTTTTACTGAGTATGTCCAAATTAACAAACTTTTAGGAGGTAACTGTAAATAATACAGTTTGTTTATTGCTTGGCTTTTGGTATATTTGGTCAATTTAATTCAGTAGAACATCAGTTTTTTAAATGTAAATTTAGTTTCGACATGTTTCGAGGCTTTTCTTCTTCCTTAACAAGCACTTTCGAGAGAAAAAAAAAACAATGTCTCATAAAGTATCTACAAATTGAGCTTCTTTAGGTGTCTTAAAACTATGGCTGAACTTTTATTCAGACTTGCGAGGATCCTTTAACAACTCTGAAACTCTAATAACTAACCTCTGAAATTAATCCTTTTTAATTTGAATTGATCCGTTTTTGAATTGAATGATTTGAAATTATATTTTTTAACTTCAAGAAACCATTTTTATTTGAGATTAACCTTTTTTCTTTTAAATGAACATATATTAACTTCAAATCAACCATTATAACATTAAATAACATTAAATTAACCATTTTTCATTGAAAATTAATAAAACTTTGAGAACAAGCTCAATTTTAGCCTACCAAGCAATAAAACGCGTGTCTCGTAAGGTACCCAAGATTCAGGTACAAATAAATCGAGCTTTTTCCATTTTTATTTAAAAGTCTTAAAACTTTGGGTGACCTTTTATTCAGACTTGGTGAGTCCTTTAACAACCCAACCTTTCATGGATCATCTGGGTGTCTTTTGCAGAATAACTGCTACATCGCCAAGCTTTCACCAAATTTTTATGTCAACCTGCATCATAGAATATATTTTCAGTTAATGCTCTTTGATATGGCAGCAAAAGGTGCAGAAAGTTTGGTAAAGTACGAATTGTTTTTAAAAAACCACCAAATGATTATTAAAAACGTCAATGAAAAAATACATTTTCTTAGTTCTTTGCTTGAAAATTGTTTTTTAAAACAGTAAGCTTAAGGACTTCGTGTCAATTAATAACGGAGCTCTTCCTCGAGACCGGTATTATGAGTACTCGCAAACCAAATGTGTCCAATAAGTATAAAATCGAATATATCAAGAAAACTTTATGTTTTTATAAAAATAAACTGCTTGTCATTAAATATAAACGTACTGGCAGTAAACAGCAGTTAAACCACTTAATCTTCTGCAATTATCTAAAATAAAAATGGACATTTCATATGAAACAACCGAATAGCATCGTATAACTACTTTGCTTGCCTTTTTTTGTAAAGGTTTTCATACCATAAGACGCCGGGAGATCATCCATTAAATTGCATTAGAAGTGTATTAGATGTAAGGTCTCCAGGTTACACAGACGATTCGTGTTAAACAAACTGAAAGCGAATTAGGACTAATACTAAAGCTAGACAGTACCAGGTCTTGTCGAGGTTATCAACTGCCTTTACAATAACGGCCCTTTAGAATAAAGTGTATATACAGTACCTTAGATCTTACTGGCAGTAAGATGTTTTTGTTTTTATAGCTAGTTCTAAAAAGAGAGCATCCTGTCCTAAGGGTCTGACTCTCTGGAAGACGTGCAACACCGCCACCTTCGTGTTTCTGCTTTTGCGCCCTTGGTACAAAAGATCATTTTAAGCTTGGATGATAATTGATTCCGCCGACTTCCCGGTGAGAGGCGACCTTTGCTCACGGACGGCAATTGTTTGAGCCCAATTGACAGGGTGTCCGTAAAGTCTCGAACTGCAAAATTTTGAAATTCGCGAGAGCACGTGGACAATACGACAATAGTTAAAATATAGATACTTCCAGCAACAATTTAAATTTCATAATTAACCTTACTAACTTCAATTAATTTTAATTTGAAATAACCTTTTTTTAATTTGAGATTAAACTTTCTTAATTTGGAATAACCCTTTTTAAATTCAAATTAACTTTTTTAAATCTCAATTAATTATTTTTAATTTATTATTAACCCTTTTATACTTCGAAATTAACCATTTTTAATTTGAAATTAACCCTTTTTAATTTGAAAATAAACTTTTAACTTCAATTAACCATTATTAATGTGAAATGAGCCCTTTTTTTAATTATAAATGAAAAAGTATTAATTTTAAATTAACGGTTCTAACATTAATTAACCATTTTTAATTTGAAATTAACTTTTTTAAGTTTGAAATTAACCCTTTTCAATTTGAAACTAACCTTTTTTAATTGGAAATTAACTCTTTATAACTGTAAATTGACCACTTTAACTTCAAATTAAACTCATTAAATTCACTAATTTCGTGGTCCGCTTGACCAATTAATATATTACAATTAATTAAGGTTTTTAGTTGAGATAAATGAAAATGATAAATGATAAATTGAAAAATGGCAAAAAGGAGGGAAAATTCAAAAGGTGGGGTTGAGATAGGAAGTTGATGTCCGAGTGGATCGAGGTCACGATAGCTCAAGTGGCAGAGCAGCGGCGAATCTAGCCGAAGATCGTGGGTTCGAATCCCGCTCGTGCCATTGACTTTTTTATCTCAACTAAAAACCTTAATTAATTGTTCAAATTAAACATTTTTGTGTTGGTATAAAACACAAGCATGTAGTAAAATTCATGTATATTTGAGAATTTTTGTTTTGGCCCTTAGAAGATTGTAGAAAGTATCGTAATGAATTTCTTTTCAAATAAACACTGACATAAAATTAAATATACGAAAAAAACTATTCTTTATTGAATTTAAGCAATATGTGAAAATCTGGCTTTTAAGTTCCCAATTATTTCGTATGTAGACAATCTTTGTTTTAATTTAATTTTATAAAATTGTAATTAAATGTAATATGGTATTCCTTATTCCCAAATATTTTATATCTGATGTTTTAAAAAGGGGGTTCATTTCAAATAAAAAAGGTTAATATGAAATTTTTAAAAAAATTGATTCTGAGGTAAAAAAAAATTTGTAGTTTGTTTGAAATGTAAAAGTGTTATTATGTTGAAAAAAAGGGTTAATTTGACGGGAAAAAACTATAAGATGAACTCAACCCATTTTTCACACGATGCAAAGGAATATTGTTATTATTCAATCTTTTTTTCCTGATAATATTAATAGGTGACTTTTGCATTGTTAAGTCCCACCTTATAGTTTTCTGGAGTTTTAACCATTGTGGACATTTAAAGAATATATGCAAATGTTCAACTGGTAATTTTATAATTGACGATTGAGCACTATAAATGAGAAAAGTTGTAGTGTATTGCCAAACAGAATATTATAAAATATGTATAACACGAATTAAAAAAACAAAAACATAAAACATCACGGCTACGTGAACAATCAACATTGCCCATCATTGATATTACGAACAAGAAAACGCAAAAAAAGCCCAACAATACATCGAACTAAAACCCAAAAGCAGAAACACAAACAAGCCCACACTAAAATTCATATAAAAAAACACCAATCATGCAGAAGCTAAAACGCCATGCATAGGGAAGGGAAGCCGGGATTAACCTGGGTGTAGACGAGCGGTATGCAGACGGTATCGTAGCTGATGATGGACCCAAGGCGTCGCCTGTGCTCAGACAGTTCGATGAGCAAAGTCTGCACCACGTGATCCGAGGTGATGAGGGCCTCTTTGCGAGCTCTGTTGATGATGTTGGTCGCCCAGACAAGCGGCATCCAATACTTGGACATGGGGCTCCGCTGATCCATCATCTCCACTATCTTCTTCTCGCTCTCCAACATAATCCCTACCGAGAATAATAACGTCCCCCCCTTTTTGTTCTAAAATACCAGCCTGGCATTTTCGTAAGACTTTGTTTTGTTTTTTAACGAATAAGTAGGCCAAGAAAATATAAATTCTAGTTTATTTTCTATAAAAAACTAAATCATTGCAAAATTGGAAGGCTTCTTTTCAATTTAAATACATAAATTTAAATAAAATGATAAATACAAAATATACTATCTTTTTCTTTTTTCCATAATACATATATGTATAAATTCGAATATCTATTGGGCCTTAAATTAAGAAACGTAATTTCTGTGGAAGGAACATACATGATTGCCTGATTTCCAAGTCAAAACAAAAATGCCATCTGGAGGAGTTTTTGCAATTAAGACGTACTAACGTCTTGATTTTCAAAGCCAAAATATGTTCTACGTTAGCTGTTCCGACGAAGTGAAACAAACTTAGAAAGCGAGTTCGGCGCCGAGAACACAATTAAGTTTATTTTGCCCGACTCGGTGTCAATTACATCCCGGGGACTTTCAAAGAAAGAAGAAAAAATTATGTCACGTTCTTATCGGCTTTCAAATGTCCGACCAGCTGCTGAAAGCAGTTATAAAATGTTTATCCTCTCATGAACTTTTCCGAAGCCTTCCAATTGGCGATTTTCACCTTACTTTGTTTTTTTATTTCATAATCGAAAATTTTCATTTAATTGTAAACAATATGGAAACTAAGTTCTTACCGGCGTCCACGATGTGCTGCAATGTGGGGAAACGCTTTTTTACACGTACGCTGACGTGTTTTAGTGTGATAACATACGCGAGCACGGCGTATCTTACAATGTTTCTCCTCATTAGCCTTCCTCGTTCGTCCTGAAAACAAAATATATGTAGATATAACTTAAACTAAGTCCTTACTTGACCAAGAGCAAAAAACGGAACTTAATAATTGAAAAACGGAAAAGATTTCAAGGAAATAACAACCGCGTTAAGAATAAATATTTGATTGAGATGTCTCAAATGAAGCTAATTATCAAATTTTATAGTTTATAATTTATGAAAACTATCATCGATTCGAGTGAATGATTCTACATTCACGGTTTCACATAACAGGGGCAATACACACTTGTATCGCAAGAGCGATGGAACCCCGTACTCGCTCTCTTACTCTTCCATATTCATGTTCTAGTGAGAGTATTGACAGGGGTTCTCGAATAATAACGTTTAATAGGAAACGAACTAGACCAACTTGACATAAAAAAAGGGACCACCCAGTGAACGAAGGGGCCCGAACCACAAATAAGCTTGAGCCGAAAAAACTCAAGAACAGGACAAAAGAACAAGGTTGAGGCAAGCTAAGAAATTCATACATCTCTTAAAAAGGCAAAGAACTCTGCTTTCTCAGCAGCTAATATATGAGGAAAATTATAAGCCTTCATCTGTTTTTTAAACTACCACCTAAATAATATAGACTAAAGCAGATACAGAAATATACCGACTGTAAACCAGAGGCATCAGCACTTCTGATGTGCCAGCCCGTTTGTGGTATAGCCACTTTGAGGAAGGCATGCTCACAAGAAAAGTGCGTGATGAAGCATGGTCTTAATCCTCTAGGTTAAAAATTATTAGAACTTTATAGGTCGTACTGGAGAAAAGTTTAGAATTATTAGGCTATACAGTACCTTTCAATAACTTCATTGAACTTTCACAATTCTGGGTAATAAACGTAGAAATTGAATTTCTGTATCGAAAATATCAGTATATTTTGTATTTCTGTTCTTTGGTTTTCTTACGACGTTACTAATTTGTAAATCTGCTTAATTATCCAAGTGATTGCTGCAAGAACATGAGCTCAATTATCTACCCGACGATGATGAGCATAAATTCGACAAGCATGATAAACAGAAATAGAAGAATAAAGGAAGTAATTATCATCACTGCCAATTAAACTGTGTGAAACAGCTTTGCAGATCATCATGACAAAAAATAAAAAGCGCGAAGAGCAGTTTGGTAATGCTTGACCAAATCACACCAATTTTAAAATTTCTTATTAGAAGCTGTTAATTAAGTGAAATATTTCAACGATTGATAGGTTCAAATTACGATAAACCATAAAAACAACTAATAAAAAAATACAAAACAACTATCATTTCCGATATTTATACGTTGTTAGTTTTTTGAACTTTTGAAACAGAAAAATATATTAAAAGACACAATTTTGTACTACAAAACCAGGATTTTGGAGAAAATTTGAAAGAAAAAAGTAAACTGAGTTCCCTCATCACGAATTCGTAGACCTTTAAAACTATTACTATTAATTAACAAGGTTAACGAGCACATATATAGTAAGAAAGAGATAGGGGAGCATGAGAGAAATGGTGATAGAAGAAGAAAAAATGTGTAAAGCAAGAAAGAGAGAGGAGAGANTTTTTCGCAAAATTCGAATAATTAATTAAAGGTATAACAAATCGATAAACAGTTAAAAATTGTATACTTACGACCCCTGGTATGGCCGCGCTGACGAAGAGAGCGAGCGTGTCGGGCCATGGTAGAAGCCTGTACTGCTCCCACCATCTTTTGACGACTAAACTTACGTAAAAAGCTAACACGAACGACATTGGAATATTTTCCGTATGTTTTGTACAATATTCCCTAATGTTTTCGAATACCCTGCAACAGAGAAAATTGATCATTTAAAAACTGATAAATCTACTAAAAATTATAGTTTGTGGTGATAGTTACAAAAGTGAATGCTTTTATATTTTTTATCGTTTTACTGTTTGAATTTATCAGTCAATATTCGAAATTCAATGCCGTGTATCTAGAATGATTCGAGAATTTCAAGATAAGAGAGAATCACCATGGTAATAAACATTAGTAAAAATTAAGCGCATAAACAGAAGAAGTAAAATACGAAAATCCAACAAAATTTAAAATTAAATTGCAGTTCTGTTGTGTTAATTTCAGTACCGACATTCAAAGCTAACGTTTTTGGCATTGCTTAGGCAAAGTTATTTTGCCTCTTTACCAACAAAATTTCAAAGATTAAGAAAAGTATCGCCTATCCTAATTAATCGCAAACACAGGGCAAACATAAATTAAATTGAGTTCACTAGAGATTCGTTTTAGTATTTGGTCAGGTGGACTTTTTGAGCTCATCCTCAGTCAATTTAACAGATTTTTGACTTTCTAAGAGAAAGGAGAATGAATAAAGAATGCAAAAGTGAATCTTTGACTTCCAATGAAGCGTGTCAATTAAGCCCCATGCCAGAAGCTTCTGGCTCCTAGATTCGTCCTAATATCTTCGACACCTATCTAAAAAAATGTAGTTTTTCTAACCTACATTTAGAAAAATGTACTTAGAATCACATACATTCCATCAGAACGAAAATTTTCCTTCACCCTGATGACACGACACTAAAGCCTAAAAAATCTCATAACCTTCCATCATCCCACTGTCCAATTAGTTTATGACATTACTGGCCACCAATTTTGTTTTCAGCGGCTATTCCACCATTCAGCAGTACCACTGGCAGAGTTGCCCTGGAAACTTCGACTTTCCCTAACCATCCCTTTTAGTTTTTACCTAAGACCTGATCTTCTCAACAGCCAGATAATTTCCACGCAGCAGTGGCTTCATTCTATCAGCCGGTAATAGCACATGCTTTTCACAATATACACCGCAAACATGACTACTATTTCTGAAACTAACCTTACCACCAATTTGGTTGATACATGTTGTAATTTGCTCTAATAAAGAAAGATTTTGTCATCTCAATACCGTGCTAACCCATGTACGTGAACAGTAGTACAAGAGGTGGAAAATGACGATAAACTTATAAAAATGTGAACATGCCAGCTTAACTTTTTGAAGAGTAACCAACCACTGCTCACACCTAGTACAGTAGTATACCACTTTCATCAAGTGGTCCGCTACTCAAAACCCACACGCAATTCAAAAAAAAGAACTCAACAGAGGCTTCGGACGTCTTAAAATACTGCTGGACAAACGATCATGACTACAAAATAAATGATCCATTTATAATACAGTTTTGGTCCTATTTGGGCTCTGGATGTGCAACAACGACCTTTGGGCTTCAGCCAAATGTTCCAATCTCTTACGTATTCTTACAATTCAAAATCCTCCAAACCATTGAAATACTCCTTTTTATCCAACCTTACCATTCGCGACGACTCTGATATGTAATATGACCTTCAGGTAGCTACTGACAAGGTATTTCAAATTTATCAGGTCACACAAAGCCTTGCATCCCGCACCCTTCCAGATCACTGTGACTGATGAGTCGACATGAGAGTTTCTGAATTGTACGAACATCGCAAAAAAAAATATTTAGGTCTGTATGGGTAATTTCGTTGGACACATTAAGTGGAGCACCAATGATTTTTCTGTGGATTATGAATTGCGCTTTTGGATTCGACGGATATTGCATGATTTCCAAACTTCCAGTCTGCAAACCCGTATCGGCCTTCGTTAAAATGATTTTTCTTAGCAAATAATTATAATTTGTTGGACTTATGAATAATGCATTCCCATAAAACACCAGTCATTCAGAAACCTCCGTTCTTGTTACTTGTAGTTTAGGAAAAACAATTTACAATTTGGGACTCAAAACAGAGAAAAGCATAAAACTGTTTTTATGATTATGACGAATTTTTATACTGATATTTTTTAACTTTGAAAATTAATAAAATTGTCATTCATATAATGATCTAAATTCCACGTTTTTGTATATGTATGGTCTATACAAATATTTTATATGAAAAGGTAAAAGATCACGGATTGTTTTTATATGACGACATGATTCGCTTCCTAAGTGCATTCAAGAAGCCTTCGTCCGGCCGTATACATCAGAAAGCCCGGTCCAGTACGAATCCTCCATGTTGAAAAGTAGTACAAGGATTAACGATTAACCATTAAAAAAATAAAATAGGGCAGTGTTGCCGAGATAATATTAAAATCACTTTCCATGTGAGGGCCAATCTTTAAATTCCATCGCTATTTCGTCCGTTTATCAACGGTTCCAATAAATACGAAATACGATTCAAATAGACCGATTATGCATAGATTCAAGACTTCGCCCTTGACAGAAACTACAGAGCATCTGGGAAAATTATCTATAACCTCAGTCACTATATGAGTTATAAATTAATTCATCAATGACTAAGCATTGTTTACATTTGTTTACTATGCTTAAAAAATCTTTAAAGGGAAAACCCCTGGTTTAAATATGCTTTATGTGCAAGATCATACATGAGCCAACGGGGTGACGTGCTATAACATTAATCTTCGGTAAAATTAAAAACCGCTCTTCATTTCCACCAAGTAAATGTTTTTATAATATACACCAATTTCTAAAAATACATATCTTTGACATTAATGTTTGCACTAAGAACATCTTTCACTCGTATAATCACTTCATCAATCAAGATAAGAGATTATCTTTTATAACGAACTGCAACGATGTAAAGTAAATTATCCAGTTCCGAAGTTTCGGTCGTGTGGTTTATTGAAAGTAGTTATGTAATTTACTGAACTATAACGTTATGGTAAGATTTGATAGGCGTAAGTTAATATGGAACAGAAGCGCCATTAAAAATCTTGTCTTGTGCATACCATGAAACCGAATAAAAAATGGGAAAAGTTTGGGGAAGTTGCAGTTTTGTACATTATAGTAAAATAGAAAATAATATTTATAATATAAGTAAAAAAATATATTAAAACGTACATTTGGTCGTTGTTTTACGTTCTTATTTTTGTTGATTTTTGTTATTTTGGTATTAGTAACTTGTGCATTTGGTAGTAGGTCTCTGAGACAAGAGCGATCCAGGACGGCGTTCCGCAAGGAAGCATTCTTGGTCCCTCCCTATAAGCAATTTATATTACTGACCTACCGTTACATCCCAAACCCATCTAACAACTTACGCGGAAGACAGCAACTTTATCTCTTAACTCACATCCTACCCAAAACATCTCCAATATCCAGGAGCATCTGGAATTCATTGTACTGAGTAAAACGTGAAAAATAAAACTACATAAGACAAATGCTCCCAATTTTGTTAACGTTAAATAAATAGCCTTTCCCACATCTATATGTTAATAGCAAGAACTACCGACATCTAAGCAAGTAGGCAGTAAACTGGCGTTAAATCGACGATTTGGACCACTACGAAGATTTATAGGACTGAAATCAGAAATGACATTACTTCAACATACAAAGATATACTGGAGCTTTTTATGGGGCGGCACAGCCAAGCCATCTAATATCCAAGTATTCCAGTCAAAAGTCCTCAGCTTCTTACTATTTCCCAAACCTCAGTATCCACATTGACCTTAACTACATTATGCAAATTATGGTTGAGTTGAAAAATTAGTGTCTAGAGCGGGCCTAGAAACCAAAAACCACCGATTTTTCAACTCAACCATATTTTGCGTAATACTTAAAGTAATTACTTTGATTAGTTGGCCCAACTAAACACATGTAATGGATTGACCTTAGCATTCTCTTCAGTAACGAATTTACCCGTTCCTCATTTATCGCTCCAATCTTTCAACCCATCCTAACCATACTACTCGAACCCTCTATCTTTCAAGCCTAGAACATTTCACGTCGTCAAAGACTCTTAACCACCTCCAAGTGTAGTGCTAGCCGTACTGGTGTTAGCATAAAGAACAATATGTAATGTGTATAAATATTATATTTAAAAATATTTAAATAAAATATTTTGGACCGGTATTCAATAAGCGTATCTGTTCATTCGGGAAATGTTCAATGTCAGATATTTCGGTTTTATCATCGATGACATCGCACATTGTTCTCGGTCTGCACCAGCGTTCAACCTTTAGGACAGAACTATCATTAACGAGGAAGGTTAGGGAAACACGCCTTATCTCAGACCTTATATCAAATACTTGGTGGATTTTTATTTTCTAATTGTCTATGAAAATGAATTTAATAAAAATTTGTTATCTCTGAAAAAGTGAGTATGATAATTATAGCTTAGAAAAGTCAGTGTCACGAGGGGGATTCGAACCCACGAGCCTCGGCTAAATACGCCGCTACTCTACCACTTGAGCTATTGTGACTTCGGTCCGCTCGGACATTAACTTCCCATCTCAACCACACCTTTCGAATTTTCCCTAGAAAAATGGCAAAAAGGAGGGAAAATTCTAAACGTGGGGTTGAGATGGGAGGTTAGTGTCCGAGTGGACCGAAGTCACGATAGCTCAAGTGGTAGAGCAGCGGCGTATTTAGCCGAAGATCGTTGGTTCGAATCCCGCTCGTGCCATTGACTTTTTTATCTCAACTGAAAATCTTTACGTAAGGTTCATTTGTCGCCGAGAACGAATAGATTACATGACATTCGAAAAATGGCAAAAAGGAGGGAAAATTCCACAGGTGAGGTTGAGATGGAATGTTGGTGTCCGAGTGGATCGAAGTCACGATAGCTCAAGTGGCAGAGCAGCGGCGTATTTAGCCGAGGGTCGTGGGTTCGAATCCCGCTCGTGACACTGACTTTTTTATTTCAACCAATACCTCACATAAAGATTAATTAACTGAAAAAAGTTTTCGGTCAATCGGACCACTAACTATAAAGAAGGTATAGCATAGTTTGAGATAGATATGAATATTGACTTTTATGCACTTTTG